CAAATGTGTTTGACATCTGGGATCTGGCAGAAGTTCCTCCTCTGGGATAGATTGTTTGCGTAGAGCTTTATTGAAGAATAATATTAAGAATGAATTACGAAATATTAGTGTAACCCAGTAAGAAATTATTATATTTTACAGGCCAAAGACATAATAGATCTCACAGAATTGTTTCAGTTCATCTGATTCAAAAGCACATCAAGGAATGCTGTGACCAGCTAGCAGTGAAAATCTGTGGGATTTAAGCACTGCAGTTAGCAATGGGCTGGAAGGAGAGGTCCAAATGCAGGCAATGGCTTAAACATAGGTTTTTATTTTTGCTACACTCCCACTCTATGAAGTGAGTGAGGAGGGAATTAGCAGGGAGCATTGGTAGTTGGGGAAGCTGAGGGCTGAGTGGGAAGCCAGGCCACCACTGCACAATCCCAGCCAAGGATCTGGACCCAGCCCTGGCCATCAAACACCTTCATGGGGCTGGGGGTGGGCTGGGGCCAGGCAGGACACCAGGGCTGTGGAGAGCTGGAGACTGACACTCCTACAGTTCATCCTTCTCTGCCCCCTCTTACCCATGCCAGTGAAAACCTCATTGGCACAGTCCTTTCCCTACCTGTGGGATTCTCCCTGGGCTGTTTGTGAAGCCCAGTCTCCCAGGATATGCTCTACCACCAGTCTGGGCTGGTGCCACCTCCTGGGGTGCCTCTGGGGTGTCTTCTCAAACACCATTACAGTCCCACTTGCCTGTGACACTGCCCTGAAATGCCTCTTTCAGTGTGGAAGAAGGGATGAGAGGCAGCTCTCCATGTCCTCCCAGTCTCCTCAGGGCCTGGGTACTTGCCTGTGACAGCAAAGGGCCGAGCAAGCAGCCAACCCATGGACAGGACATGTCCAGGCAACTGCCTGGTCCCTTTCCTCCCCTCTCTTTTTTGGGACTTCAGGGCCAGGTGCTGCTGCCCTGCCCTGGGTTTTCACACCATCATCTCTCTGGAGTCTGCTCAGGGCCTCAGAGCTGGCCTGTCTCCCAAAAGCAGATACGGGCTTGCCCGAGGATGAGCAGATGTTCTTCTCCCCGGGAAGCAGGGGCCAGCCAGGTGTCACCCGTGCACAGATCAGGGTCAGCACACAAAAGGTCCTTCCTGAAAGGGACTGAGTCAAGAAACAGGGCCAACTTTTAAAGCAAAAATAATTCATAGTTTCCAGTTGTAAAAATTTTCTTTTCCTGCCTTCTATATTCAGGTAAAGCCAACTTCGTTTACTTTGCTGAAAGGGGATGATGGCAAAAAGTCATTCCAAAAATCACTGCGCTTTAAAGCTGGCTGGACCCATGGAAGTTAAGGAGCTGGGAAGAAGATCCATGGAGGCCAGTGACTGGCCCACAGAAGCTGGAATGTTGGGTTCAAAAGGAGAACACACCCTGACCTCCAAACTGGAGTTTTGAGCACATCCCTCAAGGAAAGGCAAGATACTTAAAGCCATTTAAGAAATGACCTAACTAGAAACAGAGGTTACTAGCCCACTCTAGTCTAACTTTAACACTTTAAACCCGCTGCAGGTTGTTTTGCTGTTCCCAGGTAAACACACCAGTATACAGCACTCTTAAGGTACATGAAATAAAGGAAAGCCAACCTGCTGCCCACCCTCTCAGCCTTCACTGTGCAGACCTGCCAACCTGGCTGCTCCTCACTCTTGCACCCAGAATCACTGGGAGGTAAATGTGCTGTAGTCACAACCCTTGATGATATCACTAGGGATTTTAGGGCAGAAATAAAGATGCACTCTCACCCCGAAGCAGAGGGTTATGCATATTTAACTCATGTTTGGTTATACACAAAAATATTCAGACAGGAGAGAACATAAAGCCCTTCAGACACTGCTCTGCCAAACAGACTGAAGTGGGTTGGTACAACTCACTCATACAACCGAGTGGATGGGTGCAGGTGTCATGAACCAGTGTTTTACCAGGAAGTTTAACAGCTGCAAACTGCAGGTTATTTATTCTTAACAGTTTTTTTTGAGAGATTATTTTCAAGAATCCTGAGTCAGCATAATAACTGTAGGTACAAATATTTATTTGCAGGACACAGTATCTTTGCTATGTTATTTACCTATACTCCTCAAGCCAAAGCATTTATATATGTATAACTAAGGCTGGCCTTCCATGGTGAGCAAATACCCATTTGCCTCAAGTATTTTCAGTTGTCGTTATTGCTTAACCTCTTAGCTCCATAAAAACTAGATCATATGGTAGCAAGGAATTCAAGAGTGAAGGGTTAATCACGTCACTGCCGCTTGGGAATTAACTTTACATTAAACACATGTGCATTTTTATCCAAGTGACATAATGAAAAATGTGGTGGGAGACGGATGGTGCTGTCATTCAAGCAAGCAAGGATTTATTAAATTAGTTCTTCAAGATCGTAGAAAACCTAACTGAATATTTCTCAGCCAAAGCTGTGGCTCTTCTCTCTCTTAAACTGATGTGGTGATCCCATGATTTTCATTAGCAAGCGGATGGAAAACGGGTTTCAGTACTAGGTTTTAGGGGGCCTTGATGATGATTTTGGAATGGTATGGTGACTGAACTACGCAAGAGCTCAAGAAAGGAGAAATAAAGCAGGCTAAAAAGAGAAAAGTTGGGAATGCAGAAGTGCTGCATTAAAGAGCAGTAATTGGCTGCCATTCAGGACAGTCCTTACAAACAGTGGCACAGACTATAAACATTGTTGTGAAAGAGCTGAGGTCACATGTGTTGTCCTAATGAGTTATTGGTGTGAGAAAGTGTTCACCTGTATGGGATGGGGAACTGCTGTCTGGCTTCCTGGAACAAACACATAGGGCTCATTTTTTCCATCCCCGATTTGGCTATGTGCAGGCTGACATCAAGGACAGTTTAACAACATTCAGCAGCACCCACAGGCATAAGGAGGAACCAGTGCCACCAAAAACAGAGAGGGAGGAGAAGTCAGGAGTTCTGGTACACAGAATACAGCCCATGGGACTTCTCAAGGAAATATGATTCACAGCTTACCCTTAAGGAAGTGCAGCAGGAGGTTAAATCCCTGCAGGGTATCAGTTTTACAGCCCAGCCAAACCCCATCTCTCCAGCAGCACAGTATCCTTTCCCAGCTGCCTGGACAGCACTGACAGAAGAGAAAGCACAACCTACTTCAGCTTTGTCCACTCTTGTGAGTTTGCTTCGGAGACACCGTTGCCTTATCCGCAGAGCTCTTGATGAAGGGAGAGTCCCTTAGCTGGGAGGATATTGTCAGAGCACATTGGTCTTGCATTGTGAAAAGAGCAATAAAAGGGGAGGGGATCACACTGTTCAGTCCTGTGTGCAACCCCATCTAAGACAAACACGGCAGCATGTATAATAAACCTAAAAAGCAGACTATAAGCAGGTAGAGAAAGAAGGATAAACTGGCTCAGGTTTGGAATCTCAGATTAGGCTACTTGAGCTGCATGCCAACAGCAAAATCAGAGTAACTTTGTTTCCTGAAGTGTCCGTTCTCTACCACATTAAGCGAACAGCCCAGCCCTTCAGTACCTTCATTGATCAGGTCACTTCTACGAGGGCACCTGAGTCTGGACTGTAGAACCAGTCGTCTTTAATCATGGGTCACAGACCTACTTTCTCATTTTCTTTGAGCAGTTTTAGAGAGTTGTTTTCTTCTCCTGAAATTTTGCAGCTCAGCATTCCTGCGCTTGGCCTCTCCTCTTTCAGTTTGCATGTGTACCCGTTTGAGTGTAATTTTTCTTGAGCATGTGATTCAGAATTAATGTGTTTGCAGTGTAGTGAAGGGAAATGACGCGTCCTTGTGATACGGTAAACGAGCAGCAGCAGTTCCTCTAAGTTCATATCAGCTCTCTGAGTGGCTTGTAAATCATCACAAGCCCAGTGAATGGCGTATGACCTACCTCGCTTCTGCAGCAAGTTATTTGAGTGATAGGCATGTGAGAGAGCAACTGTGTGACTTAAGTTCATTCACTTTCCACAAAGCAAAACAGAACCAGTCTTGGCTGTCCTTGCAATCTGATGAAGTAAGAACATTCCACGTGCAAAACACAAACCCAACCAACAAATACTCCAACCCCATTAAGCATGGGTCATTGAGTATGGTGTGGGTGGAAAAGCCTTTCTTTTACTAAAGTCACAAGATGTGTAGTGTAGGTGGGAGTGAGAACTAGCCACTAGTTAATAATTTATATATGAGGAAACCAGTTCAATCTAAATTATCTTAACGTGGAGACAGGTGTATTCTGCCAAATGTAAGCCAAATTCTGGCCATAGCCTCATGATCACCATACAAAGCCCTGCCTTTACTGGCTTCAAAGACCCAGGACAACTGGGAAAAGAGAGTGGCACCATACCAGGGGGTGGGAGGAGAGCTCATCTCCTGGGATCCTCCTGGAACACCTCCAAGGCTGCAGCATGTAGTCTGTACACCCTCCCATACACCCTCCAAAGATATGCTGGATAAAGCATGGCTGGTGCTTGGGGGAGACTGGGCAAGGGAGCCATCTTTACCATCAGAAACTGTGATCTCCAATCTTCAGTGCATTGTAGGGGGAAGAATTGCCTCAGCTATGTCAAGCTCCGGGTACAGATAGAGTAATATTACACACAAAATGTTAATTTGAGTCTTATCACACATAAACCCACCAGGAAATGAAGGTAAAATACATGCACGTACCTCCAGTACAGTATGGGCAACTGTACAACATAAAAACTGTGAAAGAAAATTAGCTTCTTGAGAATTAATTGTATTTTGCTTTGAAATTTTCTCTTCTACAGTCTGCATGTTACTAGCATTTATGACCAGTAGATGTACCAGTATCACTGATCCTCATTCAACGTGCTTTGCAAAGAAGTTGTATAATTCTGGCGTGAATACTTGCAATGATCCTATATGAGCACCACTAAACCTGACAATGATAAAAATAAGCTAGAATTCAATTATAAATTTTGTTAGCAGCATATTTATTTTTTAAAAAGCTTTCAAATAATCCCTACTGGCATATTCAAGGTATATTGTTCACAAGCTGTAAAACAGTGCAAGAATTAAAAGCTCATTTTCTGCTACAAATGAAGTAATGGTTATAGGTTAAAGGGGCAGATGAGGGACATTGAAACCATCCATTTTAAATTAAGTAAAAACACTACTCTTCAAAAACAACAACAACAAAAAGAGGATTACAAAATATAACATATTTATTAATCCAGACAGCCTGCAAGTAAGAGTTAGGGAAATGACTGTTTAAGCAGAAACAGAAGTTCTGTAGAGCATCCTCTGAGCTGGGCAGTGAGTTCTCCTCCTTGCACCTGTACTGGCTGCAGGACAAACTGTTGGTATAACAACAGCTATACCTGTGATACTATATGTTCTATACCTAAAATTGTATTTATAGGTTTCTGGGTCCAGTGCATCTCATTAGGTAACAGATTGACCAGGGCGTCATTTTTTTGAAAACTGATGCTGCATTCAAACACATGAATGCCCCCCTATTTTTATTGAGGTGTCTGTTAGCATTTCCTAAGCAAAGCTGAAGTGCTTCATACAGCAGGAGAGATTTGTTTCAGAGATCCTGCACATAAGAGCGTTCCTTAGTATTTTGCATTATCTTGGTGTGTCCTCCCCTCGCCCCTGGCTGTGCCTGCCTCTTTCTTGGCTGGACCATCAAACAGCCATTGTGTCTGTATCATAATAAGGATCAACCCTTGATCCTGCCTTGGGAGACAGTGATGCTGGAGGTCAAGGAGTGAATTCTCTCTTTTCCAGATGTTGCGTGGGATGTCTTAATTTCAGAGCTATTTATAGGCTACATAGACACTTATCTTTCTAAGGACATAATCTCCTTTTAAATATTTTGTTTTTCAGGTTGATTACTTTTGCCCATGGCAATGGTATCATAACCAAAGCACTGAAGGTTAACTAATCAGCAAGCTCTTTTTTGTTACATTTCTGGTTCAACTGTAGCTTTTTATCTCTCTATAATTATCTTTTTTCATCCATGGGTATGACTTTACATTGCTGTGAACTGAATGCTGTCACACCATTGTCAACTCACACCAAATCAGACTGGGTAATTCTAAATGAGCACAACGCTGGGGAGCGGCAGAGAGATACACTAAAGCTGCAGGTACTATGTGTGTGGTAAGCAACAGCTTGGTCCTTTTAATTTTGGTCATTTTAAACGTTCCATAGATGTAGAAACACAGTGAGAAATGTCTCTATGGGGCCTGTGCCTTCCTCACTGACGGGGGGTGCAGACTTGGGCTAACAGGTGTTTCTGGTCACTGCAGGAGCTCAGAGATCTCTTTGAGCAGCTGTTGTTTTTTTGGAAGTAGTCGATTTTTCTGTCCCCCTGCCCTGCTTGAATGGCATCAGATGTCAGAATCCAAAGGAGTATTTTTAAATGATGAGCTGGATTCAAGGTTTCTTGGGGATACTGATTTGAATAACAAATCTATATAGTCTTGGTGGGCCTTCTGCCTCTTTGCATTTCACATAATCTACAAAATTAGTTTACTGACCAAAATGTTTCTTAAAGCCAGGAATTTCTCATGAATACTGGAGAACTCTGGTCCTGGATTTTCAAATTGTGTTTGCATTATGTGTAGGCAGCCAAGAAACACCATGTTTTGAGAAGTTTTGGCAAACCTAATCTTTGTAGCTATGATTTCACATGTTGGTTGCAGAACATTTGCAGCAAGTTGCTGATGAAGAATCTCCAGACTGAGGTCTCAGTTTTGACAAACACATGCACATGCATTACTCAGAATGCTGCAGAATCCCAAGGAAGTTGGCATAATCCCTATAGGTTACAGAGAGGAACAATTTCTGTGAGTGATGTGTGAGCTGTGACTATGCAAGTGTTTGGGTGTAGCTTCATGTTTTAACAAAAAACAAAGTCAAGTGCCTGGGTTGGCCTTTGAAGAACAGGAGTGAGAAATCATTCATGGAAACACATCAGTGAATGTCTTGAAATACCAGAAGAAATGTTGAAATGTAAAAGGTTATCTCAGGAGATCTCAAAGTACCCGAAGATAGTGCCCAAAGAGAAAGAGATACTGCAATCATGCTACTGTTTATTTACTGGAAACAATCTTTCATCTCTACTGTAAAAATAATACATATCTGCTTACATTTATACCACTGACACTGGGATTTGAGATTTAAAATAAAGCTGGCCTAAATCCAGACCTGATGTGGGATGTTTAGTGATCACTGACTTCAACATAGTGACGATCACATTAAACTCTCTCTGACTGGGACCAAATGCTCTTTTTGGAAATTGGAAAAACCTCATCCAACTCAGGTAAAGCCTAAGGATGTATTTCATACGCGTGTCCTTATCAGGCTTCTTAGAAAGCCTTGAGACTATCAGGCCAACATGATACAAATGCAATTTTGGGATAAAAGTGACTAATCAGGACCTAAAAGAACATCTCTCACTTTCAAAACTGAGGAGTTGTGGTTTTTTTTTTTTTTAAATCCTATTCATGAAGCCAGGCTCTGCCAGCAGGCTGGGCAATCCCTTCAGCCATTCACACCCAATACATGCCTACCAACATGGCAGTGCCTGCCTCTCCAGTGAAACACATGAAGACCTTGTACAGGTGATGGGTATAGAAGAACCTGACTGGGAAATAATGGATCTGGTATCTGTCTTGGCTGTGAGAAAAGGAACTCAGGTCAGTCAGACCCTAGGAAAGACAAATAGCCTACAACTGATGTGCAAAAAGCAAACTGCAAAATGTTTAGCAGTGCCAGAGAAGTGGAGATTACTCAGCATGTGTTTGCAGTGCATGACCATAATAAGCTCATTTATCCAGGACAAACCCCAGAGGGAAAATGAGTGACTTCTGGGTACAGGAAAGGGAATTGAAAGAGACTGAATATTTCAGGAGTTCTTGTTGCTGAAGTGTTTCCTAAAGATCCCTTTGTTACTCACATGCATTCCTCAATTCCTACATTGAGGTTACTGCATCATTATTTACTTGCTGGTGTAAAAGTGCATCTGCCTTGTACCCAAACTCTCCCTCATGTGGCTTCACCAGTATTAGTTGAGTTACACAGAAGAATCAGTTTGGCCAATGCAAACCACTAGAGGGATCTCAGAGGACTGAACTAAGAATGAGAATAGGTGAGATTTCCATATCCAGTGTGCACACTTAAAAATATCAGTTGCAGTCTGCACTGAAACAGGTGAGGAAAGAGGCCAGGGAAGTATCACAGATATCCCCACACAAATACCTCTGGAGCATTACACTCCACGTGGCACTGACCCTTCAGCACGTGTCACCTTTCTGCAGCCTCAGTCTTCATGCATGGCACCTGTTTTGGGGTTGAGCTATTCAAAATTGGTTCAAAGACTTAAAACAACATGATGTGATGGGTGTAAATCACTTGTCTGCACTCGTGTCAGATAAGGAAACAGAATTTGCTTGTACCGTGTTTTCTTACACCTCTTTGACTTCCAAATGCAGAGCCACACTACCACTTCTGCAGCTTTTGTAAATTCTCCTTGTATGCAGATACACGTGCAGTACTTTACACAACACACATTGAAGAGTCCAAGGACACTTGTTATCTTTGCATTGAAGAGCATCAGTCATGCAAATTAACACCAGCTGAGGGGTTTGTCCACCCAGGATAGAGATTTATTTTAACAACAATGCCTGTCAGGCATTTAATAACATTAAAGTATACTTTTATTCCTTCTTTTTTTTTTTTTTTTTTTTTAACAACTCTGTGCTACAACATTTCCATGTTCTAATACAGCTATATGCTACAGAAGATATTCAGTAGCATATTCTATGAATAAGCCAGACTGGAGAACTTGCAAATTGTACTGATTATATTGCTCTGCTTGCTCTAGACAGAGAAAAATTAATGTGTGAGTTCTGCTGATGCTGATACCATGTTTATGAGAGAAAAGAATTTGCCTCTTCTAAAAGTGAGGTCAAAAAAGGGTAAATATGAGTACAGGTCCCCAACTGAAAAGGAGAGAGCTCTGTGTGAATGGCTCTAGGCACTACACTCAGTGGTGGTGGGTGACCAGTCCTCAAAGAAGCTTACTTATTTTCAGCAAAGGTATTGTAGTCAGAGAATCACCAGTTGAAAAGCGATTCTGTGGGATCCAGCAAACTCTTAAATGAAATAACATTTTGTTGTCTGTGTCAAAAAAGTCAATCCCCTAAAAATATCTCAAAGCCAAATAAGCCAGATGATAGGATCTGTTCAGGTCTATAACCCTGGATCATTCATCTCTTGCCATTTTTCTCCCTCTGGCACCTAAGCCGACTAGCATGAATCACTTGGCTCATTTGTCAGAATAGTTTCTCCTTCCAAATCACGGTGATCTCTAGCAAAGATTACTGCCATTACTACTTTCTTTTACCTTTATTCCCATTACTGCACTGACACACAATTGTACAAACACGCAGTGAGGGGCAGTCTTCCTCCTGAGGACCTACATTTAAACAGACATGACAGCTGACAGGCAGGAGAGGCAAAGAGCTGTCCCTTTCCTGCTTGGCCAGGGTGAGCAGAGCCAGAGGGAAGCCACACGTACCCAGACCAGGGGCTGTGACCTCATCTGTGCAGCCAGAATACTCTCTATTAACCATATGGTAAAACTGCTTGTGTTAGAAGACCCTCTGTACTGGGTTAGAATAGAGAACCATTTTCTGAGCCGACCTGGAATTCTGTCTGCTTTTAGGGAGTCCTGGCCTCAAAGGAGAACATGAATGTATGCAGCAGTTGCAAGTTTGCATTTTTAACTTTCATGCTGTAAAAACTGGGCATGCGTAGTCCCTGTTTTTATTTGGTGAGAATTGCTGTAATATATGAGCCTGCGATGGGCTATTGGAAACAGGCCCCTGATATGAAATGGAGAGTTTAGATGTTATAAACTGTTAGTAATTTATTATTTTGAGATTGGCATATATTTTGGCAAAGTTTAAGTTGGCTGGAGTGATAGCGAGTGATGAAAGATGTTATGGCAGTTGAGAAGTGGCTGAATTCCTTTGTTTCCAGACTTTTCACTTTTTTTTTAGGGCGCAGACTGTTTATATAGAAAGTGTAATATTGTTTTATGGGTATTTGCTGGACCCTGCTAAAACCAAGCATTCGAGCTTTACTCTTTTAACAAAGTGTTTTGTTATGGAATTCCTCTGAGTTTTGATGTTTCTAAATTAGGGTTAAATCAGGTTGGTATGTGGGGGTCATGGGAGAACAGCCCAGAAGTGAGAAACTATCTAATGTCTGACAGGGTGTGCATCCTCTCCAGGAGGAGATGTGATGATAGGAAGAAAAGGCCTTCTCAACTGGACATGAAGAAGCCATGACATGAAGAAGCCATAACACAGGGGCACAAAGGGGGACAAAAAGAGGCTTTTAAGCACTGGGAAAACTTAAAGAGTTTGACATCTTCAATGCAAGATCCTGCCTGCCCCTTGTCTGCTCTCTGGTCCACCAGAGCCTGCATGTTTCCCATGTTTTACTTCCATCATCTGGGACACATGAGCACTTTTAGACCAATGGTTATAAACTAGCATTCCTCCTTCCTGATCATCTCTATTTTTCCCGCCAAGACTGTGGTATTTGATGAGACATGATACACTCAGGAAACAAATTCTTGTTTCTACTGTTTCTCTGCCCGTTTCCTTTGCATTCATCTCCTCCAAGTCAGCTACTCACAAAACTCATTGGCTTCCCGCCCTCAGCTTGGCCCACTAAACCCTGAAGTCAGACTCCAGCTTTTTTGTATTTACAATAAAGGACAGCCTTGTACAGAGCTCTGAGCTGCAGCATCCTGGGATGTTGTAGCAGCACAGAGAAAACCTTTAAACCATTAAGAAACAGAAGCTGCTCAACTCAGCATTTCCCTGCTGAAAGCATCAGGGCTTCCTTCAAGCTGAGGACAAGGAAAAAGAGCGGACTCTCTACTACAGCTGAGGAAAATCAACTCCAGACTAACTCACAAAGCTTTCTAGGAACAAAAATCAATTTTCTGATTGTGTCATGCAGTCTGTGTTGTGATAACTTTCCAAGTCTGTATTCTCCCATTTAATACTCCACTTTAATGAAGACCTAACATAAAGCTGCTACTCTGCTCCTGCCTGCTCGCATTATAATCTTCATAAACTCCTTCTCCCAAGTAGCACTGAGCACTTCCAGTCCTCAGAAAGACAAAGCAAATGTTATCTTTCTGGCCCTAGCAATGCTGGAGAGCAAATAAGCCAGTAAGAAAAAACAAAGCAAAAGAGCTTGATTTAGATAAATTTAAGAACAAGGCATAGGGACCCTCATCCAGACTAAAATAAAAGAACAAAGTGCCAGTGGCTTATACCTTCAAACTATACAATTTTTAATTTTTTTTTTTCAAACTACTAAACATATATAGAGATTTGGCTTAGCACTGAGAGGCCTCAGCTGGAATACTTTTAACAGTTTTGGGCACTGTGCTTCAAGAAAGATGTGAACCAACTGGAGAGAATCCAAATGAGAGCAACAAGAATGATCAAAGGTCCAGAAAATGTGATGTATGAGGAAAGACCAAAAGAATTGGGTTTGTTTAGACTAGAGAAGAACAATCTGAGGGGAGACATGACAACAGTCTTCAGACATGTTGAAGACCGCTGCAAAGGGGAAGATAAACTGTTCTCTATTTCTAGTGCAAGTAGACTAAAAAGCAACAGATTCTTGGAGATTCGGATTGGACTTAAGGAGAAACTTTATATTGGTTACAGCAGTTATACCTGAGAAAACAATGCCTGTGCAGACTGGGGGATCCCGTTGCTTGAGATTGGGGTATTGCTGCTTTGTGACAGAAGCATAAATGATAATGGTCCTAGTCCTTTTCAGCTTGTTTTCCCCAGTGTTAGGAATATAGGAGAGACACTGCAGGTGAAAAGAACACTTCATTTTTTTCTGAAGGAATTTGGACAGGTCTGACCTGAGTAGTCTTTGAACAGGAGATTAGTTGCAGCTATAAGTACAGAGATAGTATTACAACCTGGTAGCCATTAGAAACTGTAACTATCACACTTAGGGAAAAATAAAATTCTGATTCTTATCTGCTCCAAAGTCCCTACTGGAAATCATTCTGGAAATTATTCTGGCAGTGGAAGCCTGTGTCAAAGATCTTGAGTGCAAATAAGTATACAATCCTAAATGTTGTGAAACACACCATCCAGTGATAGATTTCTGTGAACTCTGTTATATAGAAAGATTTAATAGAGGAAGGAACCCAAACATGTGACACTTTGTAAGAAAGTAAAAGATTACATAGTACAACATGTATTTTGGAATGAATTTACAATGAATTTTAACTATAAAATAAAATCAAATAAAAAACAGGTGAATCTAAGACAAATGCAGGGTGAATTGAGACAAAGTGCCTGACTGATAATTCCAGAGATAATTGGGAATGCAAGTTAGGACTCCGGACATCCCTTGTTTTGATAGGTGGGGATTTTGTTTCTGTTTCTGCTTGTTTTTCTGCTTTCCATTTATAATGGAAAAAAAAAAAAAAGCAAGATTGCAAAAGCCAGCTTTTTCCTCAGTTTCTTTGGTGCTTTTTGCTAAGCAGCCTTGGAGCTACAAAGGTTCACAGTCTTTCACATAGACTTATGCCCTAGAAGTGTTTACAGCAAAAAGAAGAGTCCTTAAAATACATGACCACTTAGAGAATCACATGGGATCTGCTGACAATACATCTTCAGATGTCTGCATCCTGGTAGGGACTGTGCATGAAGAGGCCTCCCTGCTCAGACAGGCATAGGTCACCGGGTCTGTAGAAATAGTGATTTGGTTTGGAGCTGCTATATGTACTGGCTTTTGAGGAGAGAGTTCTGCAGAGGAGGAACTGTCTCTTTTGGTTTAATGTTTCCAGGGCACAAACTCAAGGTTTAGAAGGAGTACTGTGATACGAATATCCTCAGCCGGATGACAGAGCTTCCTCTGAAGTTGATGACGGTGTTAACAGTGATCATTTCCAAGTCCAACTCAACAGTACGGGGCCCCTTCACGGGACGGGTCATCACCAGAGTAGCACTGATCGGTCCCGTTTGCTGTGCACAAAACAAGAGAAAGCAGGTGAGATTGCCAAAACCAGCTCTTGAAAACTACTCTCTCACTATGGTCTTCAAGCAGCCAAAGAAGGTGTTTTCTGTTGCGTTGTTTGAAACCACTGCAACTGATAGGACAGAGCTTCATTTCAGCATTTGGCTCCTTTTCAGGGTTTTTACGAACTATCACTTTCTACAGTTTGTAAAGCCTTTGGGAGCCCTGCACATAAAAAGAGCTATTGAACAAAGACACTACTGCCCAAATGGAGAAAGATGAAAACGTGGATTTAGGGTGTAAACAACTAGTGTCACCTTTTTGTTAGTTTGTTTGTTTTTGTGAGATACTCTTTAGTTTGATGTAAAGGACAGCATTACTGTGAAGCAGTGAACACTGAGAAGGGGTTATGTTAACAGAGGTTGGAGAACAGACGTTCCCATGGGAACAGGGTCCAGGCTTGTGGTATATTGTGTATGTTAATGGCACAAACCTCACCCTCTGAAGAGACCTTTGAATATGTGACAGCACTTCCCAAAACCAGTCCTTTATTAAATGGAAGCAGACCTTTGCGATGTCTGGCCAGAAAAGTGGGTTACTTGCATTTAAAAATCAGAGCTGCTGACATTAAAATCAGAAATTTATGCAGACAAAGTGGGTCTTATTTTACCTTGAATTTGTGTTACCTTTGATCAGAGCAGGCTGACATAGCCATCACGAGGTGCTGGGTGGGCTGCCCGGGGCTGGGCCTGATCCTGGTGCCTCAGTGTGGGACACAGTGTCCCTCCTGCCCAGCTCTGCTTGGCCACCACCCCAAGTGGCTGTGTGGTAAATCAACAGAAACAGCAAGCTGGGGCAATGGTGATGGGCTCTGGGGCCTCAGTGCCTGGTGGACTGGCCCAGGTGAGAGGAAAATGTGAGTGAAACTTTGCAACAGGAAAGCTCTTGTGAGATGTAAGAGGTTGTAACAGGACCACTTGTTAATTCGTGGTTTTGAAGCCTTTTCCTTTTCTTACAGTGGGAATCTGAGGCTTTTGTGAAGAATGTGTCCTGGAATCTATCCCACTACTGCCCATGAGGGAGGGGAACTGTCAGTAGCCACTGAACATGACTTTATGCGAATGTCGGAGCCAGGTTTTGCTTACAGCCAAAAATCAACCTCCTCAGTGTCACCACCCCTCATGGGGGGACCCCCTTCTGTGCAGACACCCTCATCCCCCTGCATTGTCAGTGGCATGGTAAGGATGACTGGGGAACATGGAGGTCTTCTGAGGAAAACTCAGATTAAAAAAACCCGCATAGTTATATTTTCTCTAACAGTGTCTACATAAAATGTGTGTTCTCGGTGAAAAAAATGGATAACAAATGATAGCAAGGAACCCAGAAAGTCAATTCCTGGCATAAAGGGGTGGCGTTTTTGCTTACATTTTGGTTTTCACAATTTTCAATTTCCAATGAATAAAACAGACAAGACACATTGAATCTTTTGGTGACAATTACTGATTGTCCATCAAAAAACAGTTTGGCACAATAGTTTCTCTTGAACATGGGAGACCTAAGCTATTCTTAGACATGGGTACAGCCCTGGGCTTTCCTAAACCTACTGTCTCATAGGAGAAGTGTGTTTGCTTTGGGTAGGTTACTTTCCTGAGAGATCCAGCAGTTCCTCAGATCAGCACACTGCTCTGCACGTCTGTGTGTAAAAATGCCTCATACTGACTAAGTGATATTCATTAAAAGCTGAGTTCTGCTGTCAGGACCTTCAGCTAAGGAGAAGGTATTCCATGTTTTCCCTCAGTGAGTGCTAGACTTACCCGCATGTAGAATTCTCTGCCCTCGTTCCCTGATTTGATTTGGAAGATGTAATAGGCTCCAGGATAGCGAGTTGTTGCTTGCATCTGAAAAATGTCTGAAGGCACAGACCTCCCAGACACCATGTCCATCACTCTGTACAGGATGGTGAACGGCTGATCTCTGCAACCGGGGTTTTCAGCTGGACACATGCAGCGGCTGATTGTCAGAGATAGAATTGTCATTAGGGGTTACAAATGTCTGTAATATTTGATTCTTTATATGCAAATACAGATGCATAAATAAATAAACAAAGAATGTTGTTGACCAGCTAAAAGAATCAATGAAACTTGCAATAAGCTTTCTCCCTTTTAATATTCTCTGTGTTGCTATTCTGGCCTACTTATATCACTGCTTTCTTTTTCTTGTCTTCTAGGCCAAAATACCTTGGCATTCTTTGTCTCCTTAGATCGCTCAAAAATCTGTACTTTCTGTGGAGCAGTTCTGCAGGTGTAGAATACTCAGTACATGTTTGTTCTGATAGTAATTTAAACTGAACTGTCCCCAAAATAATGTTAATTAATGGATCATTTCACTGATAATGCTACATAAATGTAGTGCTCTTTGTTTAAAAATATTTTGTATACTACATGAAAACATACAGCGAGACATCTTGGATCAAACCAAAGCTATAACACCAAATGTAGAGCTTTAAGGAAGAAGAGGATAACAAGCCAAGCATACGACACTTCCACCAACAGCCTCCAACTGTTTGTGACTCAGAGAATTCTTGAAGCAAAGATATCTTCTTTGTATTCATCAGCTCTTAATACATTTCTTATCTCTCAGCTTCTCCAGCTTTCCCTTACACCCACATGAATGTCTGGCATCCACAGCCCCCTGTGGTGAGGAGCTCCACAGTCCCCTTCATCTCTCTCTGCACGGCCCCTTTTCTGACTTTATCTTACGCTCCCAGCTCTTCTATTTGAAAGGAGTGCAGCCAGTCAATCCCTGCTCCTCCTCTTCATACAATTCAGGACCTCATATTTGTTCCTTTTCATAGCTGAAGTGTCCTAACTTAGTCACTTCTCAAAAGGAAGCTATTCCGTACTTTTGATCATCCTCATTGCTCCTTATGAACCTTTGTCCAGTTATATTTCTTTTGAGAGGAGGGGAAGGAACTGCACAGTCTCAGAGATGTGGTACACAATGGCATATGCCCCAAGGCTGTTCCCTACAGACCAACACCTCAAATTCAGGTTGCTTTTCTGAACTCTAGTGAATACTGCAGATCATGGAACTAGAACAACCCTCAAATCTCAGTTTGGATGGATTATGATCATATCAGTGCTCTTTATCGAAATTGTGAATTTGGGCTTGTCTTTTTATTTTACATTCATCTACACTGAATTTCATCTCCCATTTTTATTGCAGTCATCGAGGCTTATTCTGCAATTTATTTCTACTCGCTCTTTTATCTACTGTCTTCAGGTACCGTTGGTGACTTTGACCATCTCATGGTTTATTCTTTTTCCCAGGTTGCTTATGATGGACCAAGTAGGTCCAGCTTAGACCTCTGAAGCAGAACTTCAGTGTGCAATTTGACAATTTAATACTGTCCTCTATTTACTCTCTGTTACTTATGGCTGCTTAATATGTGAGGGTCTTTTCAGAAGCCTCTGGAAACCCAAAGAGGCTGCATCAGTCCATGTGCCATAGCCACATGCTGCTGATTTCTTCAGAGAACTTTAATATAAAGTTGTGAGGCAGAATGTCCCTTTATAAAAGCCATGTTGGGGAATTTACTGGACAAGGGTCTTTCTGACTGTTTTTTCTATAAACCTCCACTACTGGCACCAATTTCAGACAGTTCATCTGGCATGGCCCCCATCAAGAGGCTTCTGGCATTGCAAACACCCAATTCCTTCCACAGAAAACTCAGATGCAAGGAATTCACTTGGCTTTTATCCTCTCTGCTTCTAGACATATGCCACAAATAAAATGCAGTCCATCTAGCCATGAGACAAAGCCACCAAACACAAAGCTCATAGACCAAGAGTTCTTCAAGCTGCTCTGAGAGGACTCTATAGTTGGGCTCTAGGGAATTTAGATACAGAGGCTTCAGATATTTCAAATTCCAGTCTAAGATCACCTCCGAAGGTAGGTAAGCCTGGAACAGGACAAACACTGTGTGTCCACTCTTCAGCTGCCCTAGTTCAGAAAGCAGTGTAAATATATGAATAAATTATAATGGAAAGGAACTAATTCTTCCTCTCTTGCCTTTCTATGAAATACATTGGACTACCAAGCAAACAGTTGGATTTAGTGCAAACAGTATGGATGAAATAAAAAGGACTGCAGTATAGAGAGATCAACCTGAAACTGAAATATTCTGAACACCAGGCAAATACCTACAAAAATGTAGAAGAAACAGGCAATTTTTAGAAATGTGGGATTTATTTTTTACTTACTCAAATAATTCCCAATTGAGATAGTAACAATACTAACAGCCCCATCCAGACATATCCAATTTCTAGACAAGGGAGATCAGTCTGTGAATTATTTTGAACTTTTAACCTTTAGCAATAGGAAACTACTTGTATCCTGCTATAACGATCATCTACTGTTTTAAAGTACTTCCCAGGTATAAGCTAGTTACCATTTACAGGAAATACTCATAGTAATAAACAGGCTGCATTTGAGCATATGTGAAGTCGGTTAGTAGTGTAAGTAAATGTCTCTTATTGCATCACAAACCTTGCTGTTTCCTCTACTAACTGATAACTCTTTTTCCAGTCTAACTTCCCACACATCTGATCGTGATATCATATCTTATCCCACCTGGTCACTTGGTAAGGAATTGCAATTTATTATTTTTATAAAGCTTACCGGTGATAAATGCAGCAACAGCATGTATGTACAGCTCTCTAGACAGACTTCATGGCTGTGTTGTAATATTACATCTCATTTGGTTTATTCTAGATATGATTCTCACAGATAGAAGTTGCTTTTGTGGCTGTGGGTATGTTACTCACTTCTCATTAATCTGGAGATAAGGCTCCTCGCATCGTACTGGGTCTAAACATTTATATTCTCCTGGGATATTGAAACACGTTTGCTGCGCAGTGCAGGTGAAGTTTCTAGTTTCACATTCATTGATATCTAAAACACAAGGAGCAAGAGAAAGGCTAAAGCAGAGAAATATGTACAAGACACCACTCCAACAAACCTGTTTTCATCTTAAGGAATTGCCCCAAAATTAATAAAACCCTTGCACTGTGAGAAGTGGCCTCTCTATAACTGTCTCCTCTTTAAAGATCAGTTTTTACTCCATTCATTTCTGCTTATTGGAGTGTTCCCCTATGCTAAATGCTGCAAAAAAAAATGGGAAGGAGTTGGCTGCTCAAGCTTTCTGACCTTAGAGAATGGCAAAAATAGAGACATGAAGCAGAGAGAGCATTTGAGGTCTTTCCTGTGTAGCTCTTTCCTAGTCAATAAAGTCTTACTTAAAACAACACACCAGTTCACCTCAGTGGGACTATTCACATGATGACATTCTTACCAGAATTACATAATTGGCCCTTATGAGTATTCCACTGCACAATGCCAAGACCACGCATCTCAGTTCTTGAAAATCTCTTTCTAGGCACAGGATCTATTTTCTGGTCCCCTCAGGTTTTAAACGGTGCAGGAATGTTCTTACCTTGGCAGCTTCTACTATCGTCAAGCAAGTTATAGCCCGAAGGACAGATACAGTAGTAAGAACCAGGTCCGTTCACACATTCGTGCTGGCAGAGGAACTCTGAGAAGCTGCATTCGTCCATGTCTGCAGTGGTAAAACAAAATTTAGAGTCTTTGGTTTTACTGTCAAAAGGGAGTCCCACAGGCAGGTGGCCATCCAGGCTACCTGCCCATCACCCCAGCTGGAGGTTGGCACCCTCCAGCTCCCTAGAGCTCTGCAGTAACGTGGCAAAATGCTGTACAATGAGTTCTTGCTTAAACAGTTTTTTCCTAGGAAAACCAAAGCTGCAGCTGAACACAATGCATGGCTTTTATTTATTTATTTTTCTTTTCTAATACCTGTCACCAGTTGGCCATGTTTTCAGTTCTGTTTTACGTCAGAGATAGAGATACTCCAACAACAAAGCTGCAACTGTAATTTGAAAGGAAAGACTTGGCAGTAGTTTTCTTTTTTTTTGTCCCCTTTTTATTGAAGAGCAAGCTTCCCTTTCCCAGGGCCACATGGGTCCCAGCAGAACTCCTGCAGCCAGCCCCGTCTGTTTTATGTTTCTTAGCCTCAGTTGCTTCCAAGTCATTCCAGCAAGACTTCAGAGCTCATCCCAGTCTGGGTCAGACCTACTGGAAGGCCCAGCCATCTCCCAGGAAACTGAGCAGTCTTTCAAATCTCTCATTGAAAGCAGAAATTGTGGTCTTTTCCCCTTGCACTCATGAACTGACCAGTCATTGTGTTCTGCAGAACTGTGCTCAAGTGAGAGAGACAGACTTCAGAGCTGCACGTGGAGGCATGGCTGACTGAGGGGAGAACACATGTGAAGGCGCTAGACTGAGGGAGGATGCCATTAATCATTTCCTTATTTCCCTGTTCAGGGGAAGAAAGAAACAAAGGCCAGAGTCCCAGCCAGGAACTCCCAAGTTCTTATTCCCAGTTCTGACATGTTGACTCTTCCAGGCAAATCACTTTTACTCCTCAGACTGAATTTCCCTTTTTTCTAAATTGGGCTCAGTCCATTTATCCACTTCTGGTGGTTTGTGCAGAGGGATTGGAAAGTATTTGAAGTCCAAATATGTTAAAAGTGGCTTTATGGCTGAAATCACATTATCAAAAGGGACTCTACAAATATATAGTCCTTTTATTGTGCAGGTTTCCCCAGTGAGTTTATTGAAATAAATACCTTCCTGACAAAATACGGACTGAGGGCTGACTCCATAAAGTGACTGAGATATCACTCACCCCCTCAAGGCATCCTAGCCCAGACCTCAAGCACACTGGATTTGTATGACCAGTGCTCAGCTGCTGTCAAGTGCTGAGGGGCTTAGAGCCCCAAGGGTCCTACATTCCTGCTGCTGAGCCCAAGAGTTCCTAAACACTTCTGGCCTTCTGTTGACTATGTGCAGACAACAAGATGGTAGGCATTTCAGAGCACATCTAATGCACTTGGAACACCTCTGTGATTAAAAAATAATGTTAGGAAAACCAGGTTGAAATCTCTTCCTGTCTCCTTGAAGTGGGGCAGGGATGCCTCCCATCTTCAGGGTAAGTTGGCTGCTAGGCCATGGACTAATCCAGCTCCTGTTGAAGTACATCTGAGTCCTGTCTCTTAAGAGTGTTCTCCTAACAAGGCATTCCCTTTGCAAGCCTCAGAGGTATCTAGCGATTGTTTGAAGGAAGCTCATCCAGAGAAATTTGACCTGCTCTGACAAACATTTTCTTGCATAGGATTGTCAGAAAAAGATATTCTGCTCTAAATCTGGGTGGTGGAGAGTCCCTTTTGCTGGCTTAGCTCAGACATGGATGAGCAAGCACCAACTTCCATGGCATTGGAATAAACTTATCTGGTTCAGGCCCCCAAGTAGCTCAGGAGGTGAGCACATAAAAAGGTGCAGGAGTCTAACTTAGAAGAAGAAATTCCATTAGAAAGTAGAAAACTCAGGTTAGGTCTTGCAGTCTAAATGTTAAATGCTTAAGACCCTTTAAAAGGTCTTTGCTCTTTCCCTTACAATAAAGAGTTTTGCAAGGAAAAACATCTTGGGAAACTCTAATCTGTACACATACTGCATCTCACATGTCTTCTTTCTCTGAAACAGCATGTTACATCTGTTTACTGTAACATAAAATATAAGTATTTTCCAGTGCATTTTTCCTTCCAAGCAATATTGGCTGGATTCTGTAATTTTATCAGGTTGTAGGAACATTAAGCAAATAAATAAGTTTTGCCTTCAATTAAAATGAAATAATAAGATAAAAACAAAAACAAGAGAGGAAAAACTAGTGACATAAGCACAATTATTCTGCTATGTGCTGAACAGATCAGCAATGGCTGTACTAAGAAACCATATATTGTTTCTGAAATGTGGCCAGAGCCATACAGGAGAAACTGGGGAAGGTTTCAGGCAGAAGTGAGCAGCCATAGGAGCAAGAGGAATACATACATTCAACAGACAAATGGAAAAATGCTTTATATGAAGTATTTCATAAATCATGGAAGAATGTTCTAGGACTATATCTGCTTTCTCTAATAAAGCTTCCTGTTTAGCATTACAAAGTGCTTTCTTATGTTTTGCTGTTACCTTGGAGCTTTTGAATGTTTAGCTTATTTCTTTAAAACCATTTGGAGCCCTCCTCCACTGAGCTTTTCTGGGTATTTGCTGTGTGCTATAGCTGGAAAGAAGATCATATGAGCTGTAGCTTCCCTGCTGCTAATCATGGATCAAGGCAAAAAACTTCTTTAAAAGTATGTACAAAGTAATACCTTGGAAAAAGTAAACTTAATACAATTAAAGAAACCCAAATGGTAAATAAAGACAGTTACCACTGCAGTTAACTCCGTCAGCTTCCAGTTCATAGCCAGGTTCACAGCGACAGAGGAAAGAGCCATAGGTATTGACGCAGGTCTGAGTGCAAGGGTTTTCACTGGTACATTCGTTCACGTCTGTGGGAAACCAATGCCAAATGCATCACTGACTTCTCCCCAAACTCTATTTTCAATTTTTTACTGTAAAGCATTTCAAAGAGATTAGCTGCGCAGTCAGAATGATTTGTTCTGAAAATGCATAACCAAGTCATAGAATCATAGAATTAACTGGGTTGGAAGAGACCTCCGAGATCATCAAGTCCAACCCTTGATCCAACCCCACTGTGATTACTGGATCATGGCACTCAGTGCCACATCCAGCCTCATCTTAAAAACCTCCAGGGACGGTGAATCCACCACCTCTCTGGGCAGGTCATTCCAATGCCTGATCACTCTCTCTGTAAAGAACTTCTTTCTAATATCCAACCTAAACCTCCCCTGGCAGAGCTTAAGCCCGTGCCCTCTTGTCCTAAAGTCAGTGTTATTCATTGGGATTCAGGCTGATGCTTGGGAATAGCATGTTGGAAACACAGTGAAGCATTTTGGAATGTCTTCAACCAAAAAAAATAACATGGAGGATGGGGATTAAATATTTATTACAATTGTTTCTGGTTTTATCCTACACTTTTAAAACCATTGAACCAATACTGTCATAACAGACCTGAGACAAAATACTCAGTGTTTCCTGAGGAAGATAATGCAATGAGGAAGGACCTCATGGAAACACCTTGGGCTAAGGCAAAAGCAATTTTTTTCCTTTTAGGACATTAGCAGCTTCTGGCCAGAAGCACAGACCTTTTCCTGCAGCATATGGGAAGATGCTCTCTCCTTCACTAGGAAGTAACTATGTGAAGAGGTTGAGTTGACTTTGATTAAGGTAGCACATCACAGCAAAAGATGGTGTAATGCTCAGGACCCCAGTCTGGAACCTGGGAGACTCTAACATAATTTATTTGTCTGACAAAGTTTTCCTGCCTCATATTTTAATAGTAAATTCAGTGCCTAAACTCTTGTCAATTTCAGCAAGTTGAGTGAATTGAGGCTTGGGCCTCTGTGCATATTTCTCCCGATACACCCGTCATGTTGCACCTGTACCCCTTCAAGGTACTGCAAAATTACAGAAATATCTGACAAATCTATGAACATTTTCAAAAGCAACACTGGGAATATTACTTGTGTTCTAAGAACTAAGCAAATTTTAAGGGTGTTGCTGGCTTGGGACCAAAGCCTTCAATCATGGTTTACCACACACGTACCTTGGCACGATCTTCCGTCGTCATTGAGGGTGAAGCCTGGGTTGCAGGTACAGGAGTAGGAGCCGGGCACGTTAGCACACAGCTGCTGGCAGTAGCCGTAGCGACATTCATCTATATCTGCAGAGGGCAAGCATGAGAAGTAGAGTGGTCTGCATTTTCATGCATGATACATCTGCATTTTCACATGCAGATACAAAGCAGCAAAACCACTGAGTTAACAGTACCAATAACACAGAAACAACCCAGCATACTGGTTATGGATGTAAGAGCCGAACTTCCAGGTCTTCAGATATGGAGTTATATTAAGATACATTTCTCACCAGTAGAATATATAATATATTTTTATTCGCATCTGACATCTATCAGTACGTCTGATGAACTGATAGTCATTGCTGTAATCTTCAGCTTAATGTGAATCAGGAAGCCCAGTCTGTTTCTTTAAGCAGCTACCTTAAAGCATACTTGATTGCTGGCAAAGCCCACCAGCGCAAGCACAGCCAAAATTGCAGTGAAATTTTGCCAGAATCAAGATAAAAACCTTTTTTGCTCCACATATACCAAAGCTACTCACTAGAAAAGAAGTGTTTGTTACTAAAGGCTTCTATTTATAGTGAGGATATTCTTTATAGGCTTTTTTCCCTAATATTCACATTCACATTTTATATGGATTTTTAACTGACAAATTATAGACTGTGTGAACAGTTAATTTAATGCCAAAATAGCAGCTTGGGCTGAATTGCAGCCTTAGCAATGCATGCAACTCACTGTTACAAGCTCAAGAAAATGCTGTAAGACATGTAAGATGGTGTTAGAATCTTGCCCCATGACTAAGAACTGAAATGAAACACCTGGAGTAGTTATCCTTTCTAAGGTTTACATTTCCTTTAGTATCAACTGGCCTTTGATTTATGGAGATTTTTTTAAATGGCTGCTCTCAAAGCTTTGAAGCCAAGTTTGTGCAGTAGAAACCCCAGTGCATTATCTCCAGTCAGGTAACAACATAACCTAAAGGCTGGGTGAGCCATGGTGAGTACACCAGCAGTAGGCTTGGCCCAAATCCTGCAAAAAGTGACACGTGTTTTAAGTAAATTAATACCTCATTTCACTGACACAATGCATTACTTTAGATACATGCTTTGTCTTTTGCAGGACTGTAATCTCAGGAGTGCTGCATTTTGGAGATAATGACTTTTACTGGGCTTCTTCTTGTGGATGTATCATGTCAGTATGGCTGTACTGGCTCACCTGTGTAAACTTTACAGGGATAATTGCAGCAGATAGAAGTGTAGGGTTCTGTAACTGCAGTTTACTAACAGTGCACCAAAAAAAAAGTGTCTAAAACCCAACTCGGCCCTCTGATTACAGTATATTTTCTTTTATTGTTTTGTGCTAGCAAAAATCACTTCTCCAAAGCCAGCAGAAAGTATGGAAAACTGAGATTTCTTACACTTAGGGAAAAATATAGCAACTTTAAACAAAATTTGCTTTTCACTCTTTGCATTGCCTTGTAATAATTCACCCTATGATTGCTAAATTGGGTAATACTGGGATGTTATTGCCTATTTTGAATAGCATAAGCAGACACTCAAATCAGTTCAGCAATGCAGTCATTTCAGTCCTCTGGTATCAAGCAGCAGGGTGTTTTAGATCCATGCCCAAATCCTGAATGCCACACAAAACCCTGTCATTTAGCCTGCAACTGGGAGAATAAGTGGGTAACAGAACAAGTGACGCAGAGCAGAATCCCCCTCCCTGCTCTCCCTTATCCACCCCCCGCTTCACATATGGCTGTACAACCTCCAGCACAACCTTTTTTATTCCCAAGAGAAGCTGATTTATCAGAGATTAAGGAGCAGGGGCCTTGGAGACTTCATATCCCAGGGGATCTACAAGACAGTGACTCCCTGAAGTGGCTATGGCTGCACAAACCGCAGCTTGGACAAGGCTCAGCTCTGTCCCTGCCAGGTGAATTACAGAGCAGCTGTTTGCAGTAGTTGGGAAAGCAGTCGTGAGTGAGTCCTTCAGCGAATTGGTATTTAGGAGGAGAAAGCTGGAAAATAACTGGAGATGGTCCAGATATGAATGGGCAGGAAAAGCCCATTCTCCTTCTAGTGGAGGTGTTGTGACGGGACAGTTCAGCTCTGCCGAGCTGGCAGCAAACAGCCATTTTTCTCTATTTAGAGAAAAAACTAATAATGAGCAAACTTTTCTTTAAAAAAGTTGTATCCTATTTCCTAGGTCTTATCTTTTTACCTAAAATTAACATCTACATCATCAGCCCCTGGGCATATCAAGTGTGGGGAATGGGCCGGAGGAGAGGGGAGATGGAAGGTTTTCTTGTGCTGTTTGTTGAGCATTGTTTTCTTCAATAGGACTGAGATAAAAGGATGAACAAGAGATTGCTGTAAGGAAAATAATAAAATTGAAATAAAACTTCTTGGAAGCTACTGAAACAACACCCAGTTCAGAGGTAATTTTTTTCTGACCCCCAAGCAAAAGAACTGGTTGACTCTAGGGATTTACTCTCAGTTCTATTTCTTGGTATCAAATACAGATCCCTTTGGGTCCCCACTGTCACAGTGAGGAAAGGACAGGTCTGGTTAGGAAAAAATATTTTTGTATATGTACTTGTGATTGATCTTACATGAAAGGGAATCCTTCAGACTGGGAATATGAAAATCCCACCTATTACATGGGTGCTACTTATATGGCATTTACATCTACACTTTTGTGCCAAGAGGGAGTCTCTCTGCCAAGCATACCCCTGGCACTTACAAAGACAGAAGACAGTGTCCACGGAGCTGAAGCTTTAACTGTGTCCTTGACAAAAATGCTTAGTGACATTATTTCAGAGATCCACATGTGCACAGATGTTAAAAGACCATATCACACAAGGATTTACCTAAACACTGGCCTTCTAACAGCCAGTAGCCTTCAGTGCAGGAACAGGTATAGCCCCCCTCGGTATTTATGCAGATCTGGGTGGGATTACACTGGTGAGAATCTGAAGCGCATTCATCCACATCTGCAACACAGAAATACAGCAAGAAAATATTAAAAATGGCAACAACAACGTTCACAATGTGCAGTGTGTACACTGGCTCCATGCAAGGAACCAAAGTGTGGAGGAGTAGAGACAATGCCCATAACCTGAAGGAAGATTCACAGTAATAAACGTCTGAGGGCAGTGAGGACTGAGGGTGCCCATCAAATCTCTCCCTTTTGCAGATGACCCAGAGTTTCTCAGAGTTCATCAGCAAAGATCTTGCATTATCCCAAGCTTTTTGTTACTTCCCCATTTGCTTTATTACTGAGCTGGGATTTCCATGCTCAGGAGCCCTAGGGAGAGGCTCCTGAAAGGGCTGTACAACTCCACTGAAGACTAAGAGATGAACAGCAGTTCGAGAGCTCTACAAACACAACTCAGACACATTAAAAAAATGACTTCCTACCCCCACCAATGCAGACTATCTCACCGTAACTTTTCAGACAGAAGGTTCCACCAAGATCAACCCTTACCTGACCAAAAAAAATGTATATGTCCCTGGAATCAATTTCCTGACAATAAAACTATTTTCTTTTAATTTATCCCCCCAACCTTTATTGGTTTTAATGTATTTGGGGTTTTCTTACAACCCCTTAGGGTGTTTTTGTCGTGGGCCTTTTTTTTTTTTTTTTTTTGCAAAGGAGGTGAATAGCATTCCTACATTTATATAAGCCAGGACCCTGGAACCTAACTGATTAAAAAATGCCTTTTGGAGTCAGGAGTTCAGTTTGAATCCCTCCCTGCTCAATATCTTCCCTGGTGTTTCAGGCGTCAGGTTTGCCTCTTAGATATCAGAAATGGAAATATCAAAAGATAAATTGTGTCATTTTTTCAGCCAATTCAGATTTCTATGTTTTATTTATTGATAACTAAACTATTTTTTATTCCAGCATACTGTTCACTGGCCTTGCTGAAGTACTATGTCATCCAAGAAATGCTACTCCCTTGTTCCCCTTGTGATTCTTATTAACCCAGACTCTGCTGGGTCATGACTGAAAGTATCTCACCAATCCCTGGGCTGGAGTGGGCAGCAGAGGGCAGGAATTACATCTCTGTATCTGCCCCCAAGACAGCTTGCACAGCCAGTTGGCTGTACAGCCCTAGCAGTCATGAAATAACTGATGCAGTGTGCTACAGCAGCATATCTAACATGTTTGGATATATAAATAAATACATACATATTGTATATATGGAGAGAGTCTAGAGTTCTTATCTGGCCAACATCTGTACCGGTTATGGTGAGTCAAAGCTGGTAAGATAACGAGAGGGGCACAATTAGAGGTAATTAACTTTGTCAGAAATCAGTTCCCATGTAGTTATTGGCCAGATGAAAGTTGGCAAAATGGTGGGGGAAGTGGGAAAGGGGTAAGATAACCAGTCTAGACTACATAGGTCCATAAATATGTTGTTCAGTTCAGCTATTACTTCTGCTATTGGGCTAAAAAATCTGGATCCTCCCTTCATAGCATATCACACGTAATTGGTAGTATCTGAACAGAGATTTAATCTAACCATAAATTTAATAACAATGACATTAATGTTTTCTAAATGAAAAAGTTTTCTATTTGTCATGCTTTGCTTATTGTTTTAGGAGTGGGACCTTGGGATCTCGCCAATTCTGCTGTTTCTGGCCTGCACCAAGCTTAAAAAGGAGATTTTCATAATACATGTTCCCTGCTTCCAGTAATGTTAATAGATGAAGCAAAGTGAGAACAAAATGAGGGTCACAGTCTCACTGCATATGGGAGCAATGCTGTTTGAAGAGTATAGATCCTCCACTCTTTTGTGGGGCATCTTTCTTGCAGGGGTATGACGTGTGTCTCTCACCTAAAACAGTGGGTGGCTACGGGATCGGGTTTGTTCCCGAGTCATCTTTGCAGCGCTGGCATGAGCTCCGCTCCAGAGAAGTAAGACATCGATCCACTCTCCTTTGCTATATACCAAGCAGATTTATTTCTTTACTCCCAGTCTTGGTCCTTTGTAGTGGTATTGGAAACATATTTCTATTTGAATGAATAATTTTTTACAGTGGAGGTTTCCTGTGGAGTTTCTGCTTGAAAACCTGAAGTCGTCTATGCAGAACACCTGGACTCGCCACATTTTGCACTGAATAATACCTCACTGACTTAATTAATTTAGTTTTATCAATCAACAAGTATTGGTTGGGCCTGATAGCACCCACCCAGTTCTGTATTACAGGTCTCTGGCTTTCTCTAAGATTGCCCCTTATCACAATGCACCATTAAACTTTGGCAGACCCAGCCAATACAATCAAATCAATTATTTTTGACAATCAGCCTTCACAGTTGAAACAGGTAGTGTAATCCCAGCCTGTCTGCCGTGGATTATCTACATTACATGGGCTCACTAAGTGACAGCAGATATTTGCAGATGGAGAATAGTGTCAGTGCAAGAATTAGGTATCCTCTAGAATGAGAATATCAGAGCTGGGAGACAGAGGGTGCCTTGCCCAGCTTATTTGCACAGCGCAGCATGCGGTGAGAGCAGGTGGGGTTGATAAAACTAGACATTTGACAGGGAAAGGAAAAAGCCCAAACCAGTCCCAAATTCTTTCCACTGGGTAGAAAACTAGCCATACAACTTCATATAATGGATGGCCACAGAAACTATATCGAAACACTCCAAGGGCATTTTCGTTAGTCTGGAAATTTGCAAGTGGAATTGCAAGTGGAATTGCAAGTGGAACCGCAAGTGGAACCTGACAGCTCATCAATAACACATCAGTACTTTCTTATTCTGGTTGCACAACTTATTTCTGTCCCATTCAAACATAAATTTTAGGTGTGTTCATGCCCTGGGACTTCAAAGCCGGTTCATACCACCTCTGCTTTTGTGATGGGTCATACACAATAGTAGAGCAAAACCGTGATGCTAATTGTACATGATACTACATTGCCAATGGTTTTGTAGGTTCAAAGCTGATATGACAAATTCAGAGAATAAAAAATTACTATAAGGCCTATTCAATACAAGGATGGCATATGTGGCTAAGAAGTCCCTCAGATGCATTTTTCTGAAGCCTGGAAGAGTGTGTCTGAGCCAGCATAACTTGTGTCAGTCTTCACAGAAAAAAAAGAAAGAAATGGAAAGAAATACTGCAGTGACTAAAGTGGAGCATGCTAGCACCTAGAAACCCCACTGTCCTCCATTCAGGATGTTAACAAATTGTGATATTTGATGATCTCAGCATTAGTGCCAGGAAAGCCTCAGATGCTGTCACCCATCACTGGTGATCCAAGGATGATTTTCATTCTACTAAATCTGCTTTTAGTACCTTTCATCACCAAGATCCTTAGGAAACATTGCCTGCATCCAAAAAGCAAGTTCAGGTTTTACTAACAGCTACCGTTTTTGGATACCTCATCTGTGATTTCGGCTAGATCACTCAGTATGTGGCAATAAAGAAGAACTGCCATGAGGTGGACTAGGAAGGAAATACAAATTAGATCTATCCTCAATGAAACCAGACTATAATACCCAGTAGCTACTGTGCAGGACAAGGAGCCAGCACAGCAACAGTGACCACACTGTAACTTATGTGCTGAGAACTTACCCTGTGGAAACTCATCCTTGCTTTTCATCTTCCACCCCTCTGCTTCCTATTTGAAAAATAGAGATTACAAAATCTCTGTCATAGTCCAGCCTCCCTCACTCTTCAGCACCTAAAACTCTTCAGGACAGGGCCTGAAGAGTTTTTTATATACAAAACCTGTTCACAGTGAGTCGATTTTTATTTGAAGCCTTCCAATCCTAATACAAACCAAACAAAACCCCGCAGTGCCCCACTTGATGATAAATATCAGTGCACCTGGATTTTAACAAGGAAATTCAAGATTAAGGAATTAAAGGATTATCCTGTGACCACTTAACAAAACAGAAGCAAGAGGAGGTCACAGGTGTTTCTGACATGTAGCCCAATACAACCTGCCCTTATTATATGAGCACTTAAAGATGTAACTTTTTCAGAAATTTTGTGCAGACTCTACATTGGCTGATGAAATCTAAACTGAAAGATTACCCATCATTCTGAAAGCTTTATGTTCTCCTACGTGATCTCAGAGGCATCAAAGGCTCTTTCAGCTAAATTCTACGGCACTCACAATGTTGCTGTTCTATCCTAATGGTGCATGGAACCTCAAAGCTTCCAGTAGTTACTGAAACAGAGAGAGAACTATTGACATGACCAGTGGCAAATGAAAAGAGTTATCTAGATAGCACACCTCTTCTTACCCTTACAGGCAGGACTGGGAGTGTTTCTCTGAAATTATATATGAAAAAAATTAGGATGTTAAGGATTGTCATACCTAGTAATTTTGAACAAATTCAAATTTTTCCAAGTGATTAGTGACTCCTTTGAGAGAGCAGTTGTTCAACATTTTAAAACCACACTAGAGAACAAAGGCTAGTAAGATGGGTCACTGTTGAAAACTTCTCTTGCCTAGGAGTCCTTGGCCAACACTGGCCCTGGTTGTTTTGACTCTTGGTTATCCTCCTGTGTGCTATCAAATTAGTGGTCATCTATATTCTCTCACCCGTCCTTCCAGTTGTTGCATTCACTTCTCTTAGCCATCTTTCCATTTGCTGTATTCACATTACTGCTCCCACAGCTAGTTCCAAAGGCAGAATTTCAGGCAGAAGTCCAGACAAATTAAAATCTGACCTGAAGTGGGAATGATTCACAGAGCCTCATGGCTTGAAGCTATGAGTTTTAAAGATCTTTGGTTTACTGGCAGAATGGGGGAATAGATGGGGGTAGATGGTATATCCGTATATATTTGTCAGGAAACCCTTGCTGCAAGAGCCTAAGCTCCAAAATTAACCACATCCCTCTCTCCTAGCTCCTAGTGTGTCTGCCTTAAAAAATTATGGCTGTGCTGGTTTGGTCTAGAAGCCCTGGGGTGTGATGTTCTGCTTACTTGACATTTTGACAAGAGGTGAGGTGGCTGGGGCAATGGGAT